AAAAAAAAGGGTGCCTCACCCGTATCTGTGACGGGCCCCGCGCAGCTAATGAAAGCTACTTAAACGGATTGAAGAGGACTTTGGTTGTTGGACTTACGGGTGTCGCAAGGTGAGCAAGACTGAAACCCAGATTCAGAGGCCTTACCATCAGCGGTACGCGGGATTCGAACCCACAACCACGAGCGCCGAGTCAATTCGACAGTTACAGTGACCCTGCCACCAAAGCTACCCAGCCAACGGAGGTGAGCCGTGTTCCAATTCTATTTGAACTTCAGGTCGGCCCTGAGGCCTTACACTAACGCTAAGCGGAAAGCGAAAAATGTTGCCGAGCCTGGAGTCGAACCGTCGACCGGCGACGCTCAGGGCGAGCGCTCTACCGACTGGGCCATGGAGGCGAGATACCGGCAGTCGCTCCTGGCCACGAGCGGTTCTACGCCGTCGCGGAAGGCGAAAAGACATCAAAGTGTGGAGTTTTCTTTTTTCCTGTTCACTCAGCAAATAACTATTCGCGCGTTTTGAAGTGCGAGGGAAGACATATCAAAAGATGGCGATTGCTTTTTTGGGTTCCTTTCTTGAGAAGTCCGCCCAGCCGGCACCCAAAGGCCCTTCACCCGGACGTGTGGCGGCGCCACCGATCGCCGTCCCGTCCACACTGGTAAAACAAGTGTGCAAATATTGCACCTTTAAGTGTGTAACTGATGATTTTGCACATGACATGGTGTTTAACTGAGCCGCACACTTAGTAGTGTGCAAATATTGAACACTACACTGGAAAAACAAAGGCACCCTTTTAAGGGTGCTATTGAATTTTAAGGGGTGCTGCTGCACTAGTGCCTTTGTAGAGGAACGATTTGTGCCAAAAATAGCACCTTTGGGGGGCAGCAACACCTTTCTAGGGGCACTATTTCACTAACGCCTTTAAAAGGCATTAGATAGCACCTTTGTTTTTTCAGTGCAGTTATCAAAACGTTGCCAGCAATTCTCGAGAGCCAGCGTTGCCAGCAATTCTCGAGAGAGGGCGCTGCGGGCGTTCGTAGGCGTGTTTTGCGCGGTGAGACCCCGCTATGTGTGTTAATGTAGGTGTTGACTCATTTGCCCAAATGAATATCTTAGGCTAGGCGACGAACCCTTGTTTCTCACTATTGGGCGGGGCGGCCTGTTAGTTGCCTCTCCTCCTCCAGTTTTACTCTTGCGGTGTGTGGTGGTCTGCGCCCCCCGTTCATACGTGCACTTTATACTGCGGCATTGGCTGCTCCCCAGCCTACCGACCTGTAGTTCAAGTAGAGTTGGAACACGCGGGGTTCGAT